GTCTCTGTTTGTTGTTTGAGCACTTTATATTTCTCTGTCTGTCACCTTTGACTTTGTCTGTTCATGTTGTCCTCTAAACATCAATGTGTCACCATGCAGCCCTCTTACCTACAAAATACCCTTTGCATACACCTCATTTTCTTTGGCAAATTAGTTTTGCAGGAGTGATAATTATTGCTGGTATCGTAGTGAGAAGGAAACTCAGGTTCATGTTCTGCTTCCCGTGTGTAATTCACTTTTAGCTAAAGGAGTTTAAAGGTTTTCTGGCTACTGCATGCAACAGAGTATACTGTAAACAAAACATTCTCTTCAATATTATATCACAAGGTTTTATTATATATTATTATAGTTGTCATTGTGTTAGCAAACATTAGCTTATTTACATGATCATCAGATTTGGAGCAAGATTCATTTAGAGTTTCTGACTCCCTGATGTTTTTACGTTTGATGTTTATTCTCTTGAAGCTCTTTTTTGGTCTCCCATCATCTCCTGAGGGAAAGATCTGTCTTTTTAGCAGCTAAATGCTCCATTATATTCACACGCTAGCCTCTGCATCTACAGTATGTGCTCTTCGAAACTTGCAGGTCCGCTGCAACTCTGACTACTTTTAAATCCAGGCTGAAGACTTTTCTTTTTGTCGCTGCTTTTAATTGAACTATTCATATCTTAGACTGCACTGTAACTTTTATCCATGTATTTTTTCTTTTAATGTTTATTTTATTAACTTTTCTTTTTAATGACTGATTTTAAATGCCATTTTCTTAATGTCTTTCATTTTTTGTAAAGTACTTTGAATTGCCTTGTGTTGAAAAGTGCTATATAAATAAACTTGCCTTGCCTTCATTGCTAAGCAGGTAGGGTAAAGTGGGTATATCAGAAGGGATGAACAGTAACAACAGTAACGCTTCAACACTGATGGCCTGTTAGCTAAAGGGAACTGCAGAGTCGCTGATAATTATCTGCGTCTCTTTGTCTATTCAAACAACACCTGCCACATCATAACCAGACAGCCGTTAAGGATAGGTAAAGATTGTTGTTTGGTTGCAAAAGTCTGCAAATCTTATCTTGTGCTTTACATCAGCGTACACTTGTTGAATATTTGAGCACAATATTTTCCTGAAGGTCTCCTTTGAGTTGCTAAACTTGTCCATAAAAAGGTAAATCATGCTGTAGTTGCCATGAGCAGAAATTCTTTGAGGAAACACGTTGAACCATGATTTCACATCCATTGTGAAATGTTTTTGTATAACAGTTTGTGGATATTAAGGGTCTCCTATTATACTATATTTAGGCATATATTATATGTCTCAGATATATAAAAAACATGTCTATGAACTGTTTTACTCAAAATACCAAACATATAACCCATTTTAGCCATGCCTCATACCCCTCTATTTCAGCCCTGTTAGAGAGAAGTGCTGATTCTGGGTCCGTAGCTTTAAAAAAAGCCACCATCCCTGTTCGTACTGTCTCTCCTGTCACTGTTTGTCATTCATCACTCTGGAGGTGTTTCTCGAGAACACCTGGACACACAAACCACCTGCACGCTGTAACCAAACAAACATTGATTTGCTCCTTGCACCTTCTGACAGATTCAGACACTGCCACTATCACGCCTTGTTTCTCTCTCACATTAAAAGTTGTTTTCCACTGGCGGCTCTCTCCTCAGCTGTGGTGTCGGTCAACAGAGGCCGACACTATGGAGCCATGCACCGCTGACCCAGATGAATCACACTCCGTCTGACTGACAGCACCACACGCCTCACCACTGCTCCTCTGTCACACTCACAGATTGGGCCTGCATGATGGATTACACAGTGGATTATGATGGATTATAAGACTGGCAGTCACATACAAACAGTCTCTGGCTCCGTCATATCCACAGACTCTGACTCACTGTGTTGTTGTTAACTTCAGATCATATTTTCATTTTATTTACTCGCCTCAGATCAGATTCAGTGTGATGCTCACCTTTATTTTTTCATTTGTTAACACAAGCTGTCTGTTTATCACTGTTAGCGCTGGTAAAGAAAAAAGAAGGAGATGTCACTGTTTGCTTTTTTGAGTGTGACTCCCGAATGGGTTGCCATGGTAATGAGGTACATTCACACTCACATTATCTTATTTGTCTATTTTCCTCTTGATCAATTCATTATGCATCAAGAATTTGTTAACGATTAACCTAATTGAATCTGAATGGGTTTGAATATATTAAAGAGGAAGTGTCTCACTTTCAGCGAAGCTTCAGTTTTCTGTTCAAAATTCATTCATGTGTAAGTGGACGACTGAATAAATCCAAACATCACCAGCTGTCTGAGAACCGAAGAGAGAGGTGGATGATGTATTCAGGATCGTTTGTGTTTGACCACAAAGCTAGAGACAGCTTTAGATGTATGATTCAAAGATGGCAATACCAACTGTCTCTATCTCTCTTAGCGCGCACGCACGCACGCACGCACGCACGCACGCACGCACGCAGGCAGGCAGGCAGGCAGGCAGGCACACACACCAACTTCTTTACCAGATTGAGGCAGGATGAAACCAGGCAGTATGACTGTGACAGAGTGATGTAAAGACACACACACACACACACACACACACACACACACACACAGTTAATAATCTAGTAGGTAAGACAGCATTAATAGGAAATTATCTTTGAGTGTTGTGATTGTGCGTGAGAATATATGAAGGGAACAACCATAGTTTCTACTGAACACTACCTGCTAAGCACCAAACCCTCAGTATTGTTAACCCATTGCTAAATGTTATGTTTGTGTAATGTAAGACTTGTATTTTTGAGTTTATCCAATGTCATTTTGGTAAATAACTACATTTTGTGGAAGTCAACAAAGCAGGCAGAGATTCAACTCGTCCCAGAATAACAGGAATCATGGGATTACAACAGAGATGTAACATTGTCATCCGCAGATCTTTGTTAGCCTCCTGCTGCTTCTGTCAGATGTTCCCCTCCTCGCTTTTGCAGGAATACAAGAAGCAGAGCTCTAATGTGACCTTTCTGGTAATAAATATGTGGGCAGGAAACTGCAGTATAGAATAAAGAGCAGTACTTCTATTCAACCTTTTTTACAGTACACATGCTTTGGGCAAGATGCCCTTTTAAAGCATTCATTTAAGATAACAATGTTATGAAGCACAGTGGTTGCGAGAGACATCTGGCTTTATGGGAAGATTAGATTGCTTTTCCCTCATGCGGTTTTTCATTTCGTTAAAGTCTTTAATACTTTAGACGACTCCATAACAGTAAAACAGGAGGAGTGGAGAATCAGTTTCCTGGACTTCCTACGTTTTAATTATTCATCATGCAGAGAGTTAATTTGGAAGACGGACAAAGCAGAATTAGAACAAAGCAGGAACAAAATGAAATAGAAACAGCTGACTGAGGAGTTATCAAAAGATTCTGAGGACATTTATTCAGACTGGAAGTAACATGGTACTTTAAAAGTATTCATAATTATAAGTACCTAGAAAAAGAGACGAGGCAGGTAGGAAGAAATCCCTTTCCCTTTAATATGTGGTTTGAAACATTAGACTCCACCTAAAAGTGAATCACTGACAGTCGCGCTAATGTGATGAATCATGAATCAAAAGCTAAGAATATGTTCTGGAGTGAATCTTGACGTGCGTATGCTCAAGTGATTCAGCTTTTGATTGAGGAAGAGCAGCAATGAAAATGTGGATGTGAGAGTCTACAGGTTAAGGAGTAATTGAAAGGGAAGGTGATTGCAGGCACGAAGTATTGCAGAAAAAGAAAAGTATGACGGAAGGAATATACAGCATGTCTCTTCTCGTCGTCTTTAATTCTTCCCTCACCCTCCCCCCTTCTTCTCTCCTTGGAGCTGTAGCGAAGGGTGGTGTTAAGCACTTCCAGTCCTCTTTCCAAAGCTAATGCATTTCCCTTAAATATTTCAATATGCTCCTCCTCTGTTCTGCAAGGTTGAGTACGAGCTCTCCCTCAGCTGGCGCCCACAGAGGCACGCTGCCACCGATAACATCCTGCCAGGGGTTTGATGTCTCAGAGTGCTGAAGACATCAAAAGAGGGAGGGATGAGGCAGGATGTGGGAGCATATAGATTATTGATCGAGGAAGAAACATCAAATAACTAAAGTGTGTTGTGTGACCGTGCAGTTTTTCCATTGTGTGCCTGGGATGTACAGCCCTTCCAGCACAGATATATGGCAGGCTGATGCAACATGGAGCAAACTTGTATTGTTCGTCAGATTTGATTGTGCAAATCTAGTCCGACAGGCGCTACAGTGAAACCCACAGACAAGCACGGAAGGCCCGTGAGCAAACGTGATCTGTGCCTGAAAAAAGAAGTCTGAAAGATCCACTTTACGAGAAGTTTGTGTAGGACTATAAACCATGTCCATCGCTGTGTTTCCCATTGTGAAATTGTTCAAAGAAGAGTGCTTGCAGCAGGAGCAGCATGTGAATTCTTGATGGTTCAATCATTTTGGTTCTTCATTACGGTCTATACAGTGCCTGCCCTCCCCTCTCCTTTTGTTCCTCTCCGTCTGTCTCTCCATCACTCCCATCGCCTCATCACTCCTGCCATTATATTTCATGGCAGCAGCCGACAGAGAGCTGGACCTAGAGGAAATTAAAAATAATCTTTGTTGCTCTGTCGCTCTCCCCTGTGGGTGGGCGGACGTCAATAAAGTATTGTATTATGGCCTGCAACAAGCACACACACACAAGAGACATGTTGTGCTCAAGATAAAGAAGCATACACACTTACAAACATACTGTAATATACGCTTTGCATTTACTCAAGGTGAAAAGGAAGCACATACACACTCAAACACAGAAGCAGTGTATTCATAAACCTGTGTGTGTGTGTGTGTGTGTGTGTGTGTGTGTGTGTGTGTGTGTGTGTGTGTGTGTGTGTGTGTGTGTGCGCTTTTCTGACTGGTGTCACTAGAGAAATAATGAAGACAAATATTGTCGTGCACTTTGTGCTCCTGTGTGTTCTAGCTGCCGAACCAGTAACCGGAAAAGCCTGATCCTGACCAGTACGTCGCCCACTCTGCCACGGCCGCACTCTCCACTCCCTGGACACATAGGTCAGTATATTAAAGTTATATCCATGATACAGTGTGCGATAAACTATTTAAAAAAATAATTCATATAAAATGAATCCAAAAAACAGACTTGAAAAGAGGTATTTTAGGAAGAATCTTGCTGTAGTTTGGGACTGTGCCATATACAACCCATTTCTTTACTATTGCAGGATCTTTTGAGGTTTCAAATGTTTTTATTCTCTAACATAATTACCATAAATGGAATCATCAGTGTCGTCTTATAGCAAAAAATACAACAGCTTTTGGGTGCATTGGGACATGAAGTCTTGGTGAAATTATGATTAAACTGATCTTTTACTTCACATTAAGTCCTTTTATTTTTTTAAAGAGAAACAAATAACAAATAATTATTTTTGAAGGTCATCTGATAAATCTCAATTTATTTAAATGTTATCACCTTACTGCAGTGATGTAGAGGTGTACTTAGATTGTGTCAGTTCAAAGACTAATGCAGTGGTCCTCACAGTGGGTGCTGTGACACCCTGGAGAGCCTTAACGACGGTCCGACGGTGCCACAAGGGCAACAAGACAACATCAAAGCTGAAAAACAAGCAACAAACGTCAAAGACGCTGTATTAACAATCACAGCTGCAAGTTGTCATAGTTACTGAATGCTCTTTGTTACATGTATGTTGAAACACCTAAACATGACAAAGGTAACTGAGGGGGTGCCGTGGTAAATACAAAATATCTCTGCACCAATGCACTAGAGGTCAGCCAGAACAAGATTTTAACTGTTTAAAAGTTGCTCTTTAATTTAATTGTAATACTGTAATTTATTACTGTAGGACACGATCAATAAACTACCTTATTACAGTAGGTGTCACAGTTTCATTCATAACCGTAACAGTGTTTTCAGTGTGTCATGGTGGCCAAATTCAGGATTTTGCAGGTTTATTGCACAAATAAGTACATGAAAACCCTTCTCAAAGCAACGCGAAACAAACGTGTAAATTATACTCATAAATGCGCTGCCAAGCAAATAGCATCTTTTATCTTAAATTAGGTAAAATGCATACATTGGGTGCTTAATTTGCTCTTTCTATGAGCCACAGTAAAAAAAAAAAAGTTTGCTAAGAACAGTGCTAAAAGCCACACACAGTAATTCTCTGTGATTTGCCCCTGAGGATACAAAGATCAAATGGAAATTGAAATGACTTAGATTTAGCTAAAACCTCAAATGACTTTTGGTATATTATGGTTCCAAGTAATCCACAGGGTATGTTTTCTGCTCTGTTTTGTCCTTATGTATTTAACAGGAAGCAGTCCATTGGACAGCCCTCGCAACTTCTCACCGAGCGGACCTGCCCACTTTTCCTTCGCCTCTTCTCGCAGGTTGGCATTCCTCCTTTATTCTCACAATAAGTCACACATGCAACGGTACAAAAGCAGTGCGAAGTAGTCGAGGGAAATTGGTGATAGGATTATTTTTATACACAACACAGTGAAAGTCTACAGGGAACACTCCCACACACAAACATGCCACAGCCTCGTCTTCGTCCTCAGAGCTCCTACAGAGCGTCTATGTGTCGACAGGTGAGCGGGGCAGGTGTCAGAGCTCTGCCCTAAAAGTGTGTCCCTCATCACTCACTCAGAGGAAGTGTCTGACAGGGCTGGAGGCCGCCTGAGGGAAGAGGGAAATAAGAGGAACGAAAGTGTAATTGGATAAAAAGGAAGCGAAGGTGGTGGGATTGCTTCAGTGTAACCTTGATGTTTGAAGGGACCAATATCAATATTGGAGTTCTAACTGGGGAAAGATTTAGAAAAAGAAGATATATTTTTTTATTTGACATGCTTCACTTTTCCACTTTTATTTGTTTTTCCTCAGGGCTGATGGTCGTAGATGGTCTTTGGCTTCGCTGCCTTCCTCAGGATATGGCACCAATACACCCAGTTCAACGGTAAGTTCAAGAGCAAGAAGAAAGCTCCACAGACTATCCTACTCCTTTATTACCTTCATAAAATGTATAATAAGTATTAGCAAACATTCTTATAAACAAAGGAAAAAATCATTATGGGAGCACTAATCTCACATCTGATTTAATTAAGCATCCTAAACTGATTTACAGCCCCATTGTTTTATTACACAAATAGTCGTTTTTATATAGCATTAGGGGGATCTTAGGCATTTTAATGTTCGGGTTTTTTTTCTATATAAACAACAGTGACATTCTGTAAACAAGCTGGTATTTCAAAGTGGAAAATAATATCAAATATATTTTTTGACACAGACATTTTAGTCCTTTAAGAACCTTGAATCATTTTAAAAATGGTTTCACAATGGTTAAGAGTTAACTAACGTATCTGTGTACACCACAGACAAACACTCCTTCCTACTGTGTATTATTTCTGCAGCAGCCACTGCACATTATGCTTTCTCCAATGTGTGATAGGGCTGACTAAGTGTGTCATTGTAACACAAAACGTGAGGATCTCTAAAAGGACACCAGAGTGTAGGAGCAGCCTCCTGAAAAGTCCTCTGAAGAATATCGGAGGCTTCTGGTGGCTGTTAGGCTGTTTCCTCACAGAGATTCCTTCATGTTTACCTTCTCCATTGCAGGAAGAGTGAAAACTGAGAAGGATCGATCTCTGTACTTTAATTATTTTCCATTTTTACCAGAGACACAGGGGAAAAGCAACTCTAAAGTGTGGGATTTGATGTTCTTCTCCTTGTAGCTGCATTGGCTAAGTCATGAATTCAAGAGCCATCCTTCGCATGAATATGCATCTCCCTCAAATAACTTATTTGCATATGTTTTCATGCATTAAATCAGTGCAGGCTTTACTGCTTGTAAATTCATGTTCTAAAAGTTGCATGTTCCACTTTGGTCTTGCTCTGCTCTGAAAGGATTACACGCCGTACTTGCAGCTAAATTCTACTCATACACAAACACACCCACCCCTGTGTTCTTTGACTTTGTTCTTGCTGCTCGGAGTCTCAGACGATTACTTTAAAGGATTTTACCGCTGAAGAACATGCATCGCATGTACACTAGCACTAAAAATAACTAATCAGTTGCTAAGATATGATCGACCTGATTTATCTGCAGCTGACGACTTGGCCTTTCTGAAAAAAAGTGGAGCAGGGATATTTGAAATGAAATGTAACCAATCTTTCTTTCTTCCCTGTTCCAGTAACAATTTCTCCATGCACCACTTTATCCCCAGAGAAGCGAAGATGGATGGTTAAGAGGGGCAACAGAGACATAAAAGAGAGTGTAGGAGGAAGTGAAATGTGTTTTGAAGGAAACAGAGGGACAACAACAATGTTCACTTTTGTCTGAGTGAAGCATAAGAGACTACTCAGAGAAATGAACCCTGCCATGGCCCATTTGGTAAATAGTCCATTTGAGAAATGGGCCTTAATGTGTATGCCGCTCAGGTGGAGGCAAGGTGTTGACTCATAATCCACCCCCTGTGCCATCTTGAACATAATAACTTCCTCTGCATCTTTTCACAGTTCATTTCTTTCATTGACTTCCTCTCATGAATCTACTTCCAGCAGCACACATAGACAGGCATGCAGTACGCTGCAGGCGACTCATTGATCTCTTTTTACCGGTAGATGAGGTTGAGACTGGTTTCTCAGTCCCTCCATACTCCGCTCACCCTCCATCACTCCTCTTCCCCCTCCGTCCTGTCAGGTTTCAAGGCTCGGCTGGTTCTTACATGGTCCATTACTCGCTTGATTAGTTACAGCAGGACCCTTGCATACTGAACAGGAGTTTCCTATATGAAGAAGTAGATCATATGAACCAAGTGTATGCTGAAAGATGCAAAAGAGTCGACAGATGAAAGTGGAGAAGATAGAAGATGGAGGCAGTGAGAAGATGAAACCGTGAAGTTGAAGAAAATTGTTGAGTGTTTGTACACATATACATTTGTTGGTTGATGCAGCTCAATGGCGCTGCTTCATCCAAACACTTACAGTTTTGTACTGCAGCAAATACAACCCCACTCTGGTTTCACTCCCAGGTTCAGATTGATCTAAAATCAGCAAATGAGTCTCTCCTGCTGTTCGGTCTCAACTTTCATCATCCAACAGAAACATCCTTCTTTTCCCTTTTCTTCTGTGTCATGAATAATAATATAGTCAAGAACAGAACATTGCCTTTTCAACACATTTTCTATTGGTGTCATTTCCATAAAGTCACATGAAGCTGAAAATCCGCTGTGAAGCTATATGTGTAGGCAATATATTAAAATCACTTATGTGATTCAAATTACGAGACACTCTCATCTTAACCTTTACTAGTTAATGATGCATTTAAAAACGTAAATGGAATGTAAATGAATGATTAAAACAGCTTTAAAAGAAACAAGCTGATGTAAAAATGGCTAATGAGCATTTAGTGTCCGGGCAGTGAGGCCATTTACACACCAGTTTTGCTGCTTTCAGAGATTTTCATTTTCTGTTTTGCCTTTTGGGAGGAAATGTGCAAACAGGAAGTGCACTATAAATGTAAATTGTACATCCTTATCATTGTATTATTTGCATTTAATCCAAACTCCAAAGGTATCAAAAAACAACAGATCTGTTGAAGCTGACAAGTGATGATAATTCTCTAAAAACACTATTTCTTCGATTCTTATCCCTTGACATATTCTCCTTGCATTTGTAGTCACATCTTCTGTGAGGGAGACCAAGAGCCATGCAAAGGAAATCTTGATGCAGTTAAATTATTTAAGATGCACCCAGTGACTACTTGAAGGAGCGAGACAGAAACGAGACCATTTTATGACAACCATCTCATTCAGTGGCATTTCCCTCAGTATCTTCATGCAGCTTCTTCATTGATTCTGTTCACTGGACATTCTGCATTCACTTAAGTGCATTTCTGCAGCCTGAAAGTGGCTTAGACCTGGATGGAGTTTTCGAATGGATTTTTCTAGCAGAAATCGTTGTGTGGCCAAAGCCTGCCATGGTGTTCCATCGGGAGATGTGTTCATTAAGCCTCCTATTGATCCAGGCTGGTTTTTCCCTCTCGCCCTTAAGAAAAGTATTTTGTTTAAAACCGAACAGCGCTGCCATTAACCCCCCGAGGCAGCAGACACTTAAGGCAGCAGTAAACTTTTAGGTGGAGTGACTCCTTCATTCCCTGCAGTCTTTTTTGCTCTGGTGTTCAGTCTACAACATTATTCTGTTTTGTCCTCCTACACTAACTCCTTCTGGACATTTTTCTTGTTTCTGATCCTCTCTCTCTTACTTTCTTTTTCTTTTATGTTCGGCACTTCTTTGTTTCAGTTTTTTTCCACCCACTCAAACCAAAGAACACCTTGTTTTTTCTGCTGCTGCTTTTTCTCCTTTCCATCTCTGGATATCTGTTGTTACACTACTGATGTTGCAGCTATAACGGAAGCTTTTTCAAAGAGAGCTAACAGAGAGCAGTTCTTAATTTAACCTTGTCTCATTTTCCTCCTTCTCTCCAGTCCTCCAGCTCCTCCCAGGAGCGGCTGCATCAGCTGCCCTTCCAACCGACCATGGACGAGCTGCACTTCCTGTCAAAGCACTTTGGCAGCACGGAGAGCATCACGGACGATGACGGGGGCCGGCGCTCGCCGCACGCCCGCCCTCGCTCCCGAAGCCTCAGGTAAGAGCACGGCAGGTCTTGGACAAATGACAGTTTAAACAAACGAAGACAAGCCACTGGGCGTCTAGCCAACTTTGATTAAGGTTTTCTATATGCAATCCCTTATCATCCCTGAGAGCAAATACAATGAAGACTGGTTAGGATCTTAGGATGTGCTGGTTTCTTATAGTAGCAGGAAGAGTTAGAGTCCTGATACTGACTTATATACAACTGATATAATCAGGAATACACATTGAGATGGAGTTCTCATTACAAGTGAAACATAAGAACATAAAACATATAGTAATAAAATAAGATTAAGATACATATACAAACAGGCAACAGCATTACAAATAATATTTAAATGCTTTCTGGAAACTTCTGTGTCTCAAGTTTACACTGTTACATTATTTCAAATTAAGGTCGAAAAAATCAAGGCTGTCTTTCCCAGGTTGGTATTTTTCTGCAGGTTTAATAAAGCTTATGTAAGCCAGGCCAAGGCAGAACTCATTCCATTTTGAATTGGATCTTTATCACTGGCTCTGGTAATTATACAAATTAAATTGAACTTTCGATAATAATGCAAATTAGGGCACTTGTGCTGCTACCATGTTATAATTCATGTGAACGCCCCCTCAAGTCAGAACAGCAACTCTGAAACAGCTACCTCCATGTTGTTTACATTGTCTGATGAAAGAAAAACAACACATCCTCTTTGTAGCGCACATGTTCTTTCCACATCACAACTTTAGGCTAATAAACACACTAAAGTCCGAAGAAACTAGGACTTTGTCGGAGGTCTGTGCTCTCCCACTACCAGTGTAGTTGAATCAGGATAAATCCCCTCAAGTTCTTTAAGCCTCTGCAGAGTGCAGCATGTTTCTCTATTTTCATAAGTCTCTAGTGTACCCTCCCTCAATCACACCTATTATAGCCTCCCCTCTGGATGCAACATGCCCCAACTACATACACCACATCACTTCTTATCAGTATTCAGTTTTCATATTAAGCTCCTCAGCAGTCGGTGCCCTAGATAGATAATCAGACATCTTGGAGCTCTATCGTGTACCTTGATATGCCTCATTATTTCTATTCATAATCGCATGTTTCTGTGAAGCTAAACAGTGTTTGCCCACAAGACATCTATTTATAATATGCTTTTTCTTTTGTCAATGTCCAATTCAGCACTGTATGAGTTGCTATGTTGAATAGTATAATGTTTTCAGGCTTTTATTCTGCCACATGTTGAATTTGCTTTGCATTTGTTCTGTGCATATGTGTTAAGGAGAGTGTACAGTAAATGTGCCTCTGAATATATTCATGCTTGTCTGACGTCTGCACCATGTGTAGCGTGACGTGCAGGAGGACACCGGATCCATTAGAGAAACTAAACTGAGTGTACTGAATTTCTGATCGGTGGATTAGCATAATGTACAGACAGGACGGACATGAGGGGCAGCAGTAAATTATTCCTTAATTCAAGTGAAAATACAGAATTGCTGCCTCCACACACTCTCTGCTCTTTGGTTTTCTCAGTCTCTGCTGTGTATTACAGTCCTGCTCTGTGTGTTTGTCTCTTTGCAGCCCCGGGCGCTCTCCATCCTGCTATGACAATGAAATAATGATGATGAACCATGTCTACAAGGAGCGCTTCCCCAAGGTCAGCCTCATATAATCATAACACAAGGGTGAACTGTGCACACATCAAACACACACAAACAATTTGCCTGCAGTCAGAGAGCGCCTCTTTAGTGGAACTGAATTAGCAATACATGCAGAAACACTGTTTGTCATGTAGTGGTCCATTTTGAGAGTTTGGGCTATTTTGCTTCCCTGGCATGTGTTCTTTCAGACCAGTGAAAATAAATACATTCAAAATACACATTTAGGTGTTTTAGTTTTTTAACTTTTTGGCATAGGAGATTGCTCTTATTTCTAAATGTATCATTAGATAATGCCTCATTTCTAATACAAAACAAATGACTTGATGGCAATTTGTTATTCCTTTCTGTTTACGCTATTCACCTGTAGGGACATCCCTTAAAACATTTGGTAGATTATTCTTTGATTAGCCCAGGATACGTTAAGGGCCACATTGGGGAAACATGTGTCCAGAACAAATAAACAAACTTAAATCATTCTGTAGAACCAAGGAGGGTGCCAGGCGGGCAGTAGATCAGACAGTTCTTGCTAGAATAAAAATAGGTTTTAGCTGGGAAGTAGATGAATGCCAACACTGTCTTTGAAGTTAACATCTGGGACATGAAACAGATGTTGGCCTTTACAGGAAGCTCCAGTATGTAGGGTGTGTAGCAGTGGGCAACATAAAGATCAGAAAGGCTGCTGCTTCAGTGGTTAACAGATGGCCGTAAGTTGGTAAATCTTGCCCCGGTGAAATATCGTCCTAACAAGTATGGCGGTGCGCATTCTGCATGAGAGAACTGGATGATGTCGATCTTGTCCGACGTCGCCTGTACTCGGTCCGGGATTCAAGATGTGTGTGAAATGCTCGCCGCCATCTTTTCCTTGACATTTTCTAATTGTCTAAAGCCCATAGCTAGCTATCAACGTGTTGTCTGAGAGCAAAGCCAATCATTCACAAAATGATTTTACTTACACAATGAGCAGATCGGTATTGGTAAGAGCGATGTAAAATATTATCCCAGCATGCACTACACGAGTCAGAGTAAAGGGGCCTCAATGTCAGGGTGCATGACAAATAACAGCATCTCCAAGTTTGACTTGTGGCAGCGGGACCTTTGTTGCTTTTTTCAAATGTTCCCTGTCTCTCTCACACTAATGCATCCTCCAGCTGTACTTAGCTGTCATCTCTGCATTCCTGCACCCTTGTTACTTTGAAAGAGGCTTACCGTTCTCCTCCGACCTCCGACATAAAGGCAGCTCTCAGATTTCATTTCACTGTTCTTTGTAAGCTGTTGACACTGCAGTGTGTGAAAACCACTGGAGGTCGTCCATATCTGCGGAGCTAAACCCGACATATGAGTCTTTGATCATGAGTACAAAATCAATTAGACCACGTAACTTGCCCCAGGCCAATACTGTATGTATTAAAACTGGAAGATTATCTAAAGCTGTCTGCATGCACGCAAACACACACACGCACACGCACGCACACACACACACGCGCGCACAAACACACACACACACACACACACACAAACTCACGTACACCATCGCCCTCTGAACATTCTCTTTACATCGTAAAGTAGTGCTGCTAACAAGGCTTCCCACATACAATTGCACAGTTCCCAGGACTGTTAATGAAGTCTCAACATTGCTGAATCCTCCTCATTATAGGAGAATAATTAGCAGTTGCATACCTGAAATAGATATTTAATTAACGCTTAATGTGGCCTTAATTCTGATAATGTTATTTTGTGTTTCATCAGTTACAGATAATGTAGACTGCCTCATGTTCTTTCCAAAAAGATCAATAAGAGTATTTTGTCTTTTTAACGTTATAAAAGAGGTGTAATCTTTGTGTATGTCACATTTAGAGCACTGACAGGTAGTGGTGGGTAGTGGTGATGTAACGTAGGGGAAGCTTGACAACATGATAATAACTTACTATTTAGGTGGTAATCCATGTGATTTTGTGACACCCTCTTTAACACTAAGAGGAAATACAATTTATGAATAAATGTCTCGGTACAGCAAAACGAACTATTGTAATAAAGAAGTCAGACAATAATTGGCCTATTTAAAAAAAAATGTGTGTGTGTGATCTGCTGCCTGCAGCTCTTCGGACTCTTCCATTTATCCCTGCAACATTTCGAACTGAAGAAAAAGCCTTATTGTGGAAGCCTTATTGATGAACAAAGCTCACTGACAAACATAGTGCCTATCCCGTGATTAACATTACCGGTACTTCACAATAATAGTGAATGTATCTTTCGCCGGTTGAATGCTTTTAATGTAAAGCCACAGAAGCAGTAAATGACAACACAGACACCCATAATACTGCAAGCATATCAATATTGTTATACTCTCATCAGTTGGCTGGAAGCTTACTCACGTTTGTGTGTTTTTTATTTAAAAAACGTTAAGCGCCATCTTGTGTTCATTCAGGCCACAGCTCAGATGGAGGAGAGGCTGGCGGAGTTCATCCACAGCTTCTCTCCAGAGAGCGTCCTGCCCCTGGCCGATGGGGTCCTCAGCTTCATCCACCACCAGGTAGCTGAGCTGTCCAGGGACTGCCTGACCAAGTCTCGCGAGGGTCTCATCGCCAGCGTCTACTTCTGTGAGCTGCAGGATAACCTGGAGAAGCTGCTGAATGATGTGAGTTGGGACAGGAATTGTGGAGGTGTTGAGGAGTGTCAACTAACGGTATGTCAATCTCTAACCTGTCTCCTGTCTGCCTGTCTCTCCTTCACTATCAGGCTTATGAGCGCTCGGAGAGTTCGGAGCTCACCTTCGTCATCGAGCTCTGCAAAAAGCTCTTCATCATCATATCTCGTCCCGCCAGGCTCCTCGAGTGTTTGGTGAGTTTCTGATGTTAAGTATGAGTATCAGTTTTTCCGAGGGCCTTTTTACATCCTGAATATGTTCTGCTTAACTGCTTGGAAAGGCTCCTGTCCTCCCAAATGGAGATGCATGGTCAATTCCTTCTCACTGAAATGCCATTAAAGAGTGAGCAGACGTGGAGCAGGCTGTCAGCTGTGCATCCAGTCTGAAGAGATGAACACATATCACAGCTGGAGGCTGGCCTGTCACTTTGAAAGGGAGTCTGTCTTTAAGGCTTACAGAAGTATTTCACATTGCATTTCTTTTACTTTTGACGAATAAAAAGACTGTTTTTCTTTTTTTTATTCCAATCTTGGGCACAGGGGATATATATAAAAATTCATACAAGGAATGTAGATAAAATTCTGAATATTATTATACCCCGCCCACAGAGATGGATGGTTTCTTCCTGACATATAGTATCCACCCAGTACATTATGTTCATGTAATAATTGTGTTCATTTAGAAAACAGGGAGGGTTGATAATAATAATGCTTTGGAGTTGGTTTATGAGAAGATAGGTTCCATCATTTGTGTTTTGATACATACAGTAGGGACGTAAAGTCAGGAAATCTCTTTGACTTGATCTTTTTATTATTTATATTTTTGTATTCTTTATTTATTTGGGGTCACATTATAATACAAGTACTGTTTTTCAAATCATATATTTTTAGATACCCGAAAGTGACAAAATTAGTCAAAATAAAATAAAAACGAAAAAGTATACAGGGGTTGTTTGAAATAGCAAATGTCTACACATGTACATACGCATACATATCAACATACATATACAGTATACATTCAATACACATACACACATACATGTGACCATACATACACATCTATACATATACATTCAATCGGTGTATAGAAACACAGTCAAACAAAGGATGGTCGTCTTTGGGATATGTAAATTCTCCACTTTTTCCATATTTCTTCAAATGTGTTTTCCCGAAGTCTCATTGAGAAGGTGATTCTTTCCATAACATGCATTTCATGGATTTTGTCATACCAGTTGTCAAGAGAAGGGATATCCGCTTTGAGCCATTTTCTAGTTATTGCTTTTTTTGCTGAATCAGTAAGAATTCCAAATAATTGTTTTGTTTTGGAGTTTGTGGGGATTGAATGTACAAGCCCAAATAGAAATCTTTTGTTTTTAATGAGGCCCCGACATCTTAGAAATGCAAAAATAAACTGCGAAACGATCTTTCAGCCTAAAATCACTCTTTTTTGAGGATAAGTTGGGGATCATTTCTCCTTTTAGTTACATCATTTCAAAATATCACAAAAGAGGATATGTAGCTATCAGATTAATGCAACATTCAATGGAGAAGACTTGATATCATTAAATAATCAACATGGCTGCAAGAAACAACCAAATATGCAGAGACAAAACTCTTCTTTTGACCAATTGTTTGCACTCGTGTTGTTCCTACGTCCCCCAGCATAAAGAAATGATTGCCACATTTACATTTGCTTCCTTTCGGTGCATTCTCAATATATCTTAATATATGCCTGTGCAGTACAGACATGCTACACATGTCTGCAGCAGCAGCATTTGCACTTATTGCCGCAGGATATATATTTTTTTACTTAACTCCAAACTGTAAAATATTCTCTCCACCTCCACATCTTGTCGATTTCTTTTTTCAGCAGCGCATCAAATCAGCTGGGAGACAGAGCCGTGTCCTTGACATGTTGATACATAACTCAGCTCAACTTACTCAGTAATAACAAGCCTCTCTGTATGCACAGGAGGCTCAGCCATACCTGGACATCAGCTCACTGATTGATGGCCTCACATGCTCGTCTTCGACAGCGTCCCTCCTCTAACCACCCCCCCCCCCC